TGTGTGAATTTTAAAAATCTTAACTGCATTTCTGCCCAAATTCTCTACCCTTTACCACTAATGAAGGACATGCCAGCCCAATTGGGGAAGGGGAAGATCTTCACTAAGTTAGACCTGCGGGAAGCATACTATCGGGTTAGAATTAAGGAAGGAGACGAGTGGAAAACTGCATTCAATTGCCCTCTTGGCTGTTTCCAATTTCGAGTTATGCCGTTTGGACTCCAGGGGGTGCCAGCGGTTTTCATGCAATTAATTAATGAGGTTTTACATGACCACCTTTACAAGGGCGTGATGGTCTATCTGGATGATATCCTTATTTACACAGAAACACATGACGAACACGTGAAACTGGTTCGCACAGTACTCAAAAAACTACGTGCAGCAGAACTATATGCTAAATTGTCCAAGTGTGAATTTCATCAGGAGAAGGTGGATTACCTGGGTTATCGAATCTCCCACAAGGGGATAAAAATGGACCCAGCAAAGGTCAAAGCAGTCACCGAATTGGAAGCTCCACGCACACATAAACAGTTACAGAGCTTCTTAGGTTTTGCCAACTTCTATCATCAATTTATTCCTTCTTTTGCTAAGATCACTCTACCAATTACAAACCTCCTGAAGTCGAAAGGGGGGCCGAAGCCCAAACCTAGCAAACCCTTGAACTGGACTATGGAAGGTCAGGCTGCATTCGAGAAATTGAAATGTCTGTTTGCAGAGGAGCCAGTCCTCAAACACCCAGACATGGACACACCTTCATGCTAGTGATGTTGCTGTGGGGGCGGTACTGCTTCAAGCGAATGCACAGGGGAAATTGCAACGCTTACACCTCTCGTAAGCTAACCGAAACTCCGTGCTGGAACAATATCTTTGCTGTTTCATCAACTACCAGCAGGATAATTGGGTGGAATTGTTGCCTCATGCTGAGGTGGCATATAACAACTCAGTGCAAAGCAGCACGGGTTTTACACCCTTCAGGGTGGTATACGGACATGATTTTGTGCCTATCCCCAAGATTCCTTGTGAGAAACCACAGGTATTGTCCCTCTCCGAGTGGAGTGACCGCCTCCGAGAGATGTGGTTTTTAGCTTACCGGGCGCTGGATGCTGCACACTGAACACACAAGAAACAGGCAGATAAGAAGAGGGCGAAGCCGAAGGAATATAAAGTTGGTGATCATGTATATTTATCCACTAAGTTTCTTCAGACCACTCAAAAGTCTAAGAAATTAGGTCCCAAATATGTTGGCCCGTTTCTGATTATCAAGGTTATCAACCCTGTCTCTGTCCGTCTCCAATTACCTAAATATCTCAACCGTGTCTATCCTGTTTTTCATGTTAATCTCCTGAAGCTGGAACACACTTCTCCATTGAGGGCTCCTTTCCCAGCTCCACCTGCCCCGCTTCTAGTTGAGGGTGAGCAACATTTTGAGATTAAAGAAATTTTGGACTCTCGAAAATGAAAGAACCGTATTCAGTATCTTGTGGCTTGGAAGCATTTCCCCCCCTTCTCATACTGAATGGGTCGATAAATCCCACATGCGAGCCCACATGTTATTGAACTCAGTCCTATTTGGGACATCTCGTACAGATTAGATTTATCATTGTCAGTACAGAAAGCTGTTCAGTACAGTTCTTAACAGAGTTTACTACTAGACAGGTGTGTTAACACTTTTTTCATGGTGCCATATATAAATGCCTGTATGTTGTTCAGCTAAAATAAGTGTTCTAGGCTCAGAAACAAAGTTTTAAGAACAGTGCTTCCAACAGTATTTAAAGCTATGTGATTTTCTAAGCTGTTTTCTAAGAGTCAGAATAGATTCAGCAAAATACATATATTATATACCCTGAATTTACACTTTTGCTGCAATATTAAGTAGAAAGTCATATGTAGACAGTAAGAGACTGTCAAGAGACAGTAAGCCCAGTGGTTCATTGTAGATGGAAATCCACCATCTTCCAGTCCTTCCATTTATAAACAAGTCAAGCATGCAATATTATTGCTAACAAGCAAGTTTCTAATACACTTCTCCATGCTCATGTTTGTGTTGTAAGAATGTAATGCTTTAATTTAAAAAAATGCAAAAAAACCCATAACTACTCTCAGCTATTTTCTTCCATGCTTTATTATTTTCCTCCCCATTCAACATAATTTTACCTACCCTTCCACAATAATTCCCAAGTCAGGGTAAACATAATTATCTACATTTCGCTTCTATGATACTTAGAGACAAACCAACTTATGAAGTGTCACAATTCACAGTCCTTGTCTGGCTAGTATGAACTAAGAAGGCCATTCCCTTCCATTCTGTTAATGGCTATATAAGATTGGAGCCATTTCATATAATCTTATATAGGAATGCATTCCCGCTGTAGCACAGTCTTACCAGCTACAGGGTTTGTTTTGTCAGCAAACTCATTACCGAATGAGAATTTTGTCAAAAACATTCATTCAGTAATATGTTACTAAGCTTAGTTTAAACCAGGGGTGAGATTCTACTAGTTTGGACCAGTTCAGGAAAACCAGTAGCTCCAACTATTAGCTGGGCCTGCCAGCCCGCCCCTGCACTATACTCACCTGTTCTGACCCCCCTCCATCCGGTGAGTAACGCCGACATAAGCTTACTGTTAGCCACACTTTATTCACAGTAATAACTCACAGACAAGACGTTGGCAGCAACCCAGACTCCCACAGATAAAAGATACACACAAGAGCTTCTCCAGCTTAGTATAACGGCTGTGTCCTGCAAAAGGTCTCCTCCCAAAGTTTCTTCTTATATACTCTCTTGGGAGGAGCCAAATCACAACCACCTGAGCCTGATTATCTCCTATGTTGCCGTAATTGCTGCCTTCACTTCTCCGGCCTCCTCTGCCTGGCGTCAGGGACAGACTTCCTTTGATCTTCACCACTGCTCCAGTGCCTGGGTCAGAGACAGACTCCCTTCGATCTTCACCACTGCTCCATGCCTCAGGTGCCTCCTGGTAGCCAACCAGCCTCTCTGGTCCCTGCTCGGAGTCTAAATCCTGCCCAGGGTCCTCCACATCTTCCAGAGCCGACTCAAGGGATCCCTCGCTATCGGAGTCTGTTGGCAGCTCCAACAGCTCCTGCTGGGCCACAACACTCACCTATATTCCCTTTTCTGAAGCCCAACTGATAGGCATGGCAGAGCAGATTGCCGTGCCTCAGCTGTTTTGCACTGGTGGAGTGGTAAATTTTTAAACTCACTGCGTGCACATACAACGTGTGTTTGGCGAAGCACACGCTCAGCGAATCGGTTGTTACACCAATTGAATCCCACGACTGGTTTAAACCCTATTTACTGCCACACCTAATACTAGTCTACTGAGATTTATCTAAATTACAGTCATGCACACTGACTGGAAGCAGAACCTCCAAAATTTCAGACTGGGATTTTCTAGGGCTAATCCTGATGGCCATAAGGTGGCAGAAAGATGGTGCAGTTCCAAATCATCCCTATTTAAAATGTAAACTAAAATGTTCAAGCCTGCAAGTTTAAGTAAAAGAGGCTAACAAATATAATGGTTAGAAACACGTTTCACACAGAGATATTGAAAGAAGATTCTGTTCCTGAATTTCATTCAAATACATAAGTGGCATACCTTGGCATACAAGAGATGACGGTGTTTCCCCTGGATGGACACGGGCCGTAATAAACACCACTTTCTGTTCTGCTCCAGGACGAAGGTTCACTGTTGAAGAAAGAAAGAGGGTTTTTAAAAAATCATGAAATTGACATTCCTTTTTCTATGTTTATCTGACCTTAAATAAAGGATCTGTGAATTTTGAGGGGTAGGACTGTTACTGAGTGCCTTTGTTTTGTATATTTCTAGTTGCCTTTTTTATTCCTTTTTCCAATGAAAACGTTGAAGAATAAGCAAGATTTCAAGCAACTGCTCTTTTGAGTCAAAACCTTTCAACTAAGACAGTTTTTCTTGACTAAGACTAAGCTTTTCTTCCTAAAGAAATACAAGGAGTTTAGAAAACTGTTGATCCATAGAACCAAGATATAGAACTTCAGGGGGGGAAATGTCTTTGGCAAGCCAGATAAGAAGCTTTATGGGAAACAATGGTCCATAACGAGACATTCCCCATTATTGATTTAGGCCAGGAGTGTCCAACCTTGCAACTTTAAGACTTGTGAACTTCAACTCTCAGATTTCCCAGCCAACTAAAAGAATGCCCTTGATAATCTTTCCTATATTGGATTTACAAAAGACGCTTGTTAAAGTTTGGAAGAATTTTGTGAGGAGAAAGAAAAAAATCAGGTTCTATGACATTTGGACTTTTCAAAAGAAGAATATGGCATTGGATCAATGGAAATCAAGATTCAGTCCTCAGTTCCAACAAATCTCTTAACACTGGTGAACACACAACAGGGTATTTTTTGAAAAACAGTCATATGCCATGCATTATCAGCCCACCCTAGTAAATGTACACAAACTTATACCAACAATTACCAAGGGGTTTATCTGCTTTAAGAAGTAATTTTGGATTTAATTAGCAGAATTAATAGAATACTTTATTTTGCCAAGTGTGGTTAGAAACAAGGAATTTGTCTCCAGTACAAATTTGGATTAGTTTATTGTATAATTTTTGAATTGTTTCCCAGTTTTCAAACTTTAAATATTCAAATAAATTTTAAGTTTTAAAAGTTTAAAAAATCATCACAATCAGTCCTCCTTGTATAAAAGAAACAAACATATTTTCACTGGCTGTTTCAATCTTGTATGCTACCTTTAAATGAAAAGAAGAGAAGGGTTGCTCAAATGGAGGGTGCATAATTGTAATAAAAGAACAATACATATGGCCCCAGATTGACCTTCATTAGTTGGTGGCTAGAAAACTAAAAATTCATTTGCTCTGAAGATGAGCCAGACACAAACAGTGAAAGGCAGTAACCTTCCCTGAAGGACAGTAGGAGCCAGGAGTCAGCTGTGCTAATAGATAAGAAGTCCTGATGGATGATATTTCCCTAGCAACAACAGTGCCCATCTTTTGTTTTCACCTTCTCACTAGCAATGTCCAACTTTTGGGGGTGTCCTAATTGTGTTAGTCAATGTAACTATATTTATCCTTGAGGTCATGATTTTTTGATTGTCCTGATTATAACCCTTTAAAACTCATGGACTTAGAACAAATCCATGCACCGGGTTTTGAAAACTTTAATTTCAAGTGCCCTTTTTTCTGTAGCATAAAGATATTCAAGAAATGTTCAATTGATTTAATTGAATAATTAACTGGCCCGCATGCCAGTTTCAACAAATATCCAGCTTCCTGTGACAACAATGTAAAGAACAACACAAATATTGTTATCAAGAAAAAGCATTCAGAGGAAGAATAAAAGATATGATATTTTGCTCTGTGTTTATTGTTGCTGGTGCATTGGGGAAGAATTCATTTCCTTTATTTACTTGAGAGTTAGATAACAAATCCTTTCTATTTTGGGACAATAGCTAGAAAGAAAGATAAGAATTGTGATAGCTAGATGCTGGACTGTACAAGATTATTTTTAAAACGTGGAAGGATTGGAGGGAGAAGGAAGGAGAAAAGGGAAAACTCTGTACCATCACTATTCACTTCACTAATAAGAAACAGCAGCACATCAGTAACAAAGCTCAGGTTGTCCAGCTGCCAGGAAAAAAATTGAGCTATGATCTTTCATTAAAAGTTAAGAACAGGAAGAATTGTTTAACTTATTTTGGGGGGCTAGGACATCATACAGTATGGTAACTGAAAGAGTTCTGAAGTTTTGTATCCAGTCATATAAAGAACAATAATATCACCGTATGCGTAAGCACATTATACTGATTTTGTATTCATTGTATGCCACATCATTTGCTATCTTAGAACAGGCATTCTGTGGTGGCTTCTGTTTGCTGCTGAAATGATGGAAAGTTGGGCTACTTACTACCATTTCCTATGAATTTGGCAGCCTGAAAATTAGAAGAGTCGTTACAATGATCTAATTTAAGCTCTTGATGTGTATGAAACTGACATAATAGACAATTGATTTTCTTTCCTTTTGGTTCTGCTGACCGTGGGGGAAAAATGCAAATCAGGCAATGTATTTGCATGCTAATTTTATTGCACCTTTGTGTCTTCATAAGAAGATAAAAGTTTGTGTTAATAAAAATAAAACATTTCTGGCTCTAATACAGGCAAATGTTTATGCAGGCAGGTAACAAATTGGTTTGTCATTTAGTAAAACATAGCGAATGCAGTAATCATCTTTAGGCAAAACAGACTGGAGCTTTTGCTTAGCTTTTAGCTTTCATTTGCAAAAATCACTTTAATGTACAGCAGAATTTCCAAAACAGGGTAATAAGAAATTAGCACAACTGTTGCCTCATTCCTAACTACACAGAGTACATAGTTATTCAATTCTTATGGCTGGCCAGAGGAAAGGATTATAGGGAAACATAATCAATTTATAGAATTATGTAAACATCTGCAATTTATAGATTAGGGAGTATTATTATAAATTATTCTTACGTCAACATTTTGAATGCATCTCACATATCACTGTGACAATGCTGTTCACAGAACAGGCATATGATTTCTTTGTTTCACTGTGTTGTCTTCCTTTTGTGCATTTGCATTATCTAACATTTTCCAAGAGTATATAACGTGATGAACTATGATGGTGCTTTAAGTAGCTAGGGACCAACAGCCTGAGATTGCCAGTCAAAATCGGTTGACCTGTTTTTGATCCAGGAACAACAAAAGAGCACCTGTAATTCTAACCATTGCATTACTCCCATCCTCCCTCTAACACAGTCTATAACTCCTCTGCTCCTTCCCCGGCTGAACGTCCTTGGTACAGAGGAGGGAAACCATGCAAACAATTTCAGCATTAATACTTGACTGCATTTTCAACTTAATAACCGGGAGAAGGGATGCTGTTGTCAAGCAAAAGACCAACAATATCTTTTGGTTTTGGGTTTGTTTGTTTGTTTGTGTGTGTGTGAGAGAGAGAGGAGAGAGAGAGAAGGGAAGGGAGGGGGAGGGAGAGTTGTTATCAAATATAGAAAGTCAAAAACGGCAAAGCAATTTTGAGTGAGACGATTTTCTCCTCTTCCACTCTCGATTTGTTTGTTTTTAATCAGTCTAAGAAGCTAACCTTTCTGCCTCTCCACTTTCTGACACTGTCGAGCCCAATGGCCCTACAAGAAGAGGGAATTAACTAGCACAGAAAGGCTTCTATGTTTATGCCTTCCCATCACAAGTCGGGTTTTGCATTTAGATTAACCATAGGTATCTGCATTTTTTTTTAATATAGGCTCCACAAAATGGAATGGGAAACAGGAAGATGAGTGGCATGTTATTTGATTCCAAAAGGCAAGATTACAGTAATGCACAATTAAATTAGCAGAAAGTGGTATTTAATGTCACCTGCATGCATTCTCACTGTAGCATGAAGTTTAGTAGACAGGTCTTTCCTTCGGCTGCTCCTTTTGCCTCCTTCCCTCCATTTCTATTTATAAGACAAGTATAGATAAAGCTCTGTGCCCCTCAGAGTGCCAATGCTAAGAATAAATGGAACATCAAATATGTCTCCTGAAAGGCATACATCATCTTATTAAATTTGTCGGATAATCCCAGAAAGCTAGAAACAATTCTCAATATCTCCAAAATGTATGCGTCCTACAAATAATACGTGGTATAAAATGAAGGAGGAAAAATGCCTCAAAAGGAGATTCAGAGTATACAATTCAATATCACCCCCCTACATACACACAAACACACACACACACACACACACACACACACACATACACACACACACACACACAATACTTGTGCTAGTACAATAGTACTAGTTAAACTGCTGTTAAACACTCAGTCGCAAAGGTGATCTGGAAACATCAACATTTTAGCTATGAAGTTAAGCAAATGCCTTGATATTTATAAGTGGTTTCACTGTTTTTAGTCTTCAGTTGCTAATGTAAATTGCATGTGAGTAAGGTGACCAGATTTTCAGATTGGTAAAGAGGGACACCTTTGACTGGGGGCGGGGCCTTGATTAAAAATTTTATACGGAGCAACAAAAATTTTCATACAATGCAAAAATAGTTAAAGTTTTAGAATTTAGCA